GGCACAGCCTGTAGTGCTGTCACCTTGGTCCCATCGCTYGCAGCCCCAGATTTCCCCTCCTGTCTTGGGGCTCCCAGAGAGGACCCCCACCAACAGGTTCCCTCCACCACCACTGTGGAGCTACGTCAGAGCCAGCYAAGGGCTCTTGCGAGCCTCCATACGCAGTTGCTATCCCTTCCGAAGACCATACCCTAAATAAGCCGAGAACCTCACAGCTTAATTCTCACTCGCTCTCAGTGCCTGAGTTTTGCTGAATGAATAGAGCTGTGCAAGCAGCATTGAGTAGCTCTAAAAAAACTAGCCCTGGTTGCAGACACTYGCCGAAGACACCGCGGACACAACCTCTACTTCTTTAGGGATATCTCCGTAAGGTGGTTTAATTAAATATGGAACAACTGCAGGAAGCTGCTGATGAGTAATGAAAGCTGCAGATGTAGCTGGCCAGGCGATCTAGCACAGTAGGTGTTTTCAGTTGCAGAATGGTTCAAATCAAAGCTGGTTCTTCCTGCCAAGGTGGCAATCCGAATTAAATTACGCACGGGTACAGTGGCAACTTTTAACTACAGCACAATATTATTCCATATTTCAACTGAAATTGCTTATTATATGTATCTGACAGCAGTGAATCTTTCAAAAACAACCAAATACCTCTTAAGCACTTAAAAAACTACGTTTCTTTTCCTATGTAAATTACCATATCCTCACTTTATTTATGTCTGACTTGGTAAARTAAAACTGCAGTTTGTCTTGTACACGGTACAAAACAAGAGTTCAGTAAYTTCCATGCCTTCTTTTTAGATGATGTTTTTACAAGTATCACCTTCTGCAAAATGCCCCAAATTTGGTTTGCATAATTATTAAACAACAACAAAAAAACACTCTTGTCCCAGATTAGTTAAAAAATATTTAGTATAAAGGTTCTTATAAAAGGTTAGCAATGCTTCAGTTTGGTAGTGCAAAGACAGTGACCAATCACACAGTATTTTGTATACAAACCAAGAGCAGTCTTGCCAAAAAAATTTTAATGCATGAATTTGTTAACAGAGCAGATACAGTTAAAATTAATATTCCTTTTTTTCATTAAGATGCAAGAGTGAAACACTGTTGAGAGAAAAAAATGATACTTGGAGAGTCTTAGACACACTTAACCAAACACATGTGGATATAATGAGACTACTGTATTCACACTAGCCAGTTTCTGAAAGTGTTTCAAAACAATTTGATATACACAAACTATGGAAAACTTAGATTGAAGAAGATAACTTCACTTACATAGATGGCATTTTAATGTGGAAACACAGTAATAGAAAGTCTTCTTTCATACAGATTTTATACCATGCAATGCCATTAAGATGAGATTAATCAATCAGGCCTCTCTCCCAGGCATACAGCACATGCAGGGTTAGATGTACGAACACAAGCGCAAAGGAGGAGCTGGGATTTCAACCCACCAACCTAAGTGAGCTGCTAGCAGGTTGTTAAGGGAGAGATCTGCACAACTCCGGTTTCCCTATCTCTGTTCCATCAAATACATGTTTTAATCAACAGATGGATGTTTAAGTGTTGGTATTCTGACAGAGCAGTTTTAAGGATGGTAGTCACTTCCCTGTGCGTAGGCTAAACAAAGCCACAAGCATTAAAAAGGCACCCTGAGGAAGTGTTGCAGCATCACCTCTTGACAAAGCATTTTTGTCCAGCGTGATTTTTACTAGCAACATCATCCACCAAGTGATAGCTCAGCACAGCACTCTAGTTATTCAGGCAACGTGGGGGAAGTAGCCACGCTGGGCCCCCACTTAAAGACGTGCTTTCCACAGGGAACCTGAGCATCTTTGATAAATCAGYACGCTCCAAGGAGGGATGTGTCAGTCAGACAAGGCACAGCAAGCACCGGAGCCCACGCACGGGCCTGCTGCCCACCGTGGTCAGCCCCGACGGCGCTCGCGCCTGGCCCAGGCGGTGCTTCGTGGGGATGCTCCRGCCTCCCCGCAAGGGACGCGGGGACTAAGGGACAGGCCAAGCAGCAGAAYAGCTTCCAAGAAGATAGAGGGATTTAAAAAAAATAAAAAAAAAAAAGCTATTTAAAAAAAAAAAAACACCACTATGTTGTAAAGCAAAGGAGACAGGGTGCAGAGCACCCAGAGTACTGAAGGAAAAATAACAGAGGGTGAWCAGTTAAATTTCTGGATGCAATAGACATTAACACAACAGTACGTGTGGAGAGAAGACCGGCACGCAGTGAGCGGGGATTTTGGTTTTTGCACTCAGGGACGCCACAGAGCTCTGTGGGCACCAAGCAAGGATGTGGTCCCCAGAGCCGGGCAGAGCGGCACCCCTGTCACACAGCAGCTAGGTCACCCCTGGACCCTAARCCGCCCGTATCTCCCCCAAGACACGAACAGAAAAACAAAATCAGACACACAGACCGCACAGGCGCTGGAGGGAGCACGGGGCTCCCTCAGCCCCTCTCCATCAGGGGAGACACGGGGCTCCCTCGGTCCCTCTCCATCGGGGGACCGCACAAGGGACAGAGGCGCCTTCTCTGGAGATGTGACCAGCAGGCATTGTCCTAGGTCTGAGCACATTCCCGAGCTGTGTGTTAACTTCCCCGGGGCACAGCCAATTCAGCCTCCACCTGTCTGCTAAAAAATGCAGAAATGACCAGCAACAGAGCTGGCTTTCYGACAAGCACCAGCTCCAGGCCCCGCTTAAACAAATGTCAGTTTGCAAAGGAAGAAACCTGTGGGAGATKGGGAGCGTGGGCTCGTCTTCGGCCCGCTGAGTTTCTAGCAGCGGGGACAAGTTCTCGCGCTGGATCCCCCGGCGGGGCCTGCGGGAGCCGCGCAGCCGGGACCAGACCTGCCTTTCAGGTGGGAACGGCTTCCAGGTGGGAAGAGGAGCGGGAGGAAGAGCCGCGATGCTACGGGCAGCAAGCCCGGACGCGCACCAGGTGAGGGAAAATGCGCCCAAGTTGGGTTTTCTTTGTGGTTCTGGGGTTTTTTTTGGGCGTAGGGGAAGGCAGAGGGGCAGTGGGAGCGCTGCCCGAGCCCCCCTGGGGAGCCCCCGCGTGGCCCCGAGCCCCGTTCCCGCCGCAGCGCCGCGCGGCACCTACCAGCGCCTCGCCCTGGAGGGCGGCGGGGCCGCGGCGCGGCTGGGGCGCGCGC